GCTCTATCCACTGAGCCAAACCTGCTAGAGCAGGAAACATTTTTGAAGGTGAGAGTATATATGTGGAGAAGTGCATTGTCCCTCATAAATCTTATATTTGAAATTGCACTGTTGTAAATACATTTCTCTATAACTCTGAGGATTTTCAGTAAGGGAACAAAAGCATGTATATTTCTCAAGGTTATTACAATCCATATAAACCAGTTATTGTCCTTTGAAGGGGGAAAACGTGTGTCTATAAAGCTCAAAATCTTTTTTGTGTAATATCATGCAATGGTCATCTCTGCTGGTCTGGTATTATCAATCAAACCCTCAACATATTTCTTTTTTTAACTTTTATTTTTAAAATTGCTTTTTTTAAAATATATTTTATTGATTTTTTACAGAGAGGAAGGGAGAGATATAGAAAGTTTGAAACATCGATGAGAGAGAAACATCGATCAGCTGCCTCCTGCACACTCCCTATTGGGGATGTGCCCGCAACCCAGGTACATGCACTTGACCGGAATAGAACCTGGGACCCTTAGTCCGCAAGTCGACGCTCTATCCACTGAGCCAAACCGGTTTCGGCTAAAATTGCTTTAATTAATGTCTAATGTTGATTTTTTTTTATTCTTGTTAATCATCACTAGAAGATTTTTTTCATTGATTTTTAGAGAGAGTAGACGGGAGGGAAGGGAAGGATGGGAGAGAGAGAGAGAAACATTGATGTGAGACACATGAATTGGTTGCCTCCTGCACACTTTCTGACCAAACCAGGGATCAAACCTGCAACTCAGGTGTGTGCCCTTGAGAAAGAAATGAACCCACAACCCTTCAGTGTGTGTGCCGATACCCTAACCACTGAGTACCTGGCCAGGGCAACATATTTCTTTAATCCACTGTGTTGCATTTTGTGGTCCAAGGAACAGAATAACACTAGGAGACAAACGATGACTCCATAGTACTATTTATTTGCTTTCCTTTTTATACAAAAAACTTTATAATATGATGGAAAATTTTACTCACTACAACTTTAATAGCAACTTTCTGGAAATTGCTTTTCTAAAGAATTTCTATATCTTGGTCCTTGAATTTAAAAGCACACCTTTGTGCCCGACCCGAGTGGCACAGTGGTTGGGTGTCAACCTATGAACCAGGAGGTCATGCTTTGATTCCCAGTCAGAGTACATGCCTGGGATGCAGGCTCCATCCCCAATGTGGGGTGTGCAGGATACAGCCAATCAATGATTCTCTCTCATCATTAATGTTTCTATCTCTCCCTCTCCCTTTCTCTCTGAAATGAATAAAAATATTGTAAAAAATCCTAAAAACACACCTTCGTAACTAGAGGTATATTTACTAACATATAACTAATGTAGAATAATATCAATATTTATAAAATTTATATTATAATTTGAAACATGAGAAATGTCACAAAAAAAGACCAATCTGAAATTATATCATTTCAGGACTAGTCTTAATTTTTATTGCCCTTTATCAGAATTTCTCCTAAATTTTATTCCTTTAACATGTAGATCAATTTCAGAAAGATTTTGGGAGGAAGCATATCAAGTATATTTTTAAATAAAATGATCTGTCAGTTTTACAATGATGATTTTTAATTCTTACATTTAAGGACACTTTTCATGAATATAACTGATAAACATATCTTTATCCAAAATAATCTGTAACAACTCTAATGAAATCTGATTGAGTTTATATTAGCTTTCATTGTTATATCTAAACTAGAGGCCCGGTGCACAAAAATTTGTGCACTGGCGGGGGTGGGAGGTGGGGGGGGGTGTCCCTCAGCCGGCAGGGCTGATCTGGGGGTTGGGGCACCGCCCCCAGTTGTGCACAGGGCAGGGCCGATTGGGGGGTTGTGGTGCCGCCCCGGGTCACACACTCAGCAGGGCTGATCCAGGGGTTGGGGCCCCACCCCAGGTCGCACACGGGAAGCCTGGGTGGGCCAGCGGATCGCTGCTGCTCCGCCTAGCCACCCCGGGTCTGGTCGCATACGGGACCCCTCCCCCCCAGGATCGCAGATAGCAGGGCAAGCGGGATGGAGCTGTCCTGCCCTGCCTGCAGTATGCAAATTTGCCACCATCTTTGTTGGTGGTTAATTTGCATATCACGCTGATTAGTCAATGGGAGGCATAGCAAAGGTACGGTCAATTACCATGTTTGTATATGATTAGATAGGATACTTGTTTATCTATATCTATGTCTATATCATATCATACTCACTTTTAGCAACTGCTATTGATGAAGGTACCCTAGAGAGCACAGCTTTTTGAGTTAGATTTTATAAAGTTCTACTCCTTGCTCTATCACTTATCAGTTCTGTAATGTTGAACTAGTAATTAAAACTTTCAAGTTTTTGTTTCCTCATCTATAAAATGGAAATGATAGTGACAATAAGATGAAATGAATTACCATGTTCAAAGTATGTACTGACAGGCTTGACACATAGTAATTACTCAGTTGTTGCTATACCGCTATCTTTATTATAGTAATTAGTAGTAGTAGTTGTAGTAATTGATGTACTACTCTAAATATTATAGCCGTTGCCCTTGCCTTTTTAGAAGGGAATGATCATAATCATAAGGGTACCTATAGTTCCTCTAGTCTCAGCTAAATATGTAGTATATTCAGTTCTATTTGTTTCTTGTGTCTGGGCTTTTGATAAATCTTTTCATATTTTTCTCTTACATTATAACCAACTTCTTTCTCACAATCCATTCCAAAAGCAAAATCTCTCTGTTGTATTTTGATTATTTCTGCTTTTATGTATTCTGCCTGCCAGTATATTCAAAAGACTGTTACCAGAAAGCTTCTTCCTATCTCACTGTTTGAGCCGCAGCAATCCCCATTCTCAAGTTATTTTCACTAGTTCTTTTTCTTTCCCTGTGAAATTTTGACTCAGAGTTCTCAACTCAAAAAGTTCTTAAGCACATTCTGCCTGCTCGCATCCCTCTTTCATTTTCTCCTAGTTTTCATTTCAGTGTGCCCAGGCATATTTTCTCTGGAGCCGTTTTTATTCCCCTCTCTGTGTATGATTTCATGCTGCATCTCATGCCTGGAAATCTCACCTGCCCAGTTCTCTAAGACAACTGCCTATCATTTGTCATATCACTGTTCAGAATCTATTTCCTTTTATTTTCTTCCGAGTATTTTGCTACTAAAACCTTAGGAGAAAATACTTTTGAATTTAGTCTGCAGGGAAAACAAACAACAAAAAAACAAAAAAACATGGTAAAAGGTCAAGCCAGTTCCCATTTATTTATAGTTAAATACATTTCCTTGGTATTTGAGTCTAATTTATCTTGTTTGCTTAATGCACATTTCAGTCCTGTCTGAATCTCATTCTGCTACTTTTAGTACTGTGTATAGCATATACTGTATATACATATATTCACAGTCCACCAGCAAAAACAAAAAGAGATCAGTACTATATAGTTCATTTTATTCCATGATGACTAATGATCATCTTCACAAACAAAACCACAAACAAATTTTTTTTTAAAAAACTGAAGGGCTATAGATAAGATGAAACTAATTTAGTTAATGGTTGAATTGTACAACTAATATGTGAAGAAAATTGCATGACTACTAATCTCTTATTTCTATGTTTTTGAATTATTAGAACCTGAGTTCTTATTTTGATAGAGTAAGGATCTTTCCTGTCTGGTATAGCAAATACTAGACATTTATTTCAGTTCAGTCCTAAAGGCATAGGCCTCAAATTAACTGGCAAAGAAAAAAAAATTACATGGAAGTAAAAGGAAAACTGAAGTAAAAATATGAGATCCATGGAAAAGTGTATTTTATAATTGCCTTTATCCCTTATAAAGCTAAACTTCTAAAGTTGTGTGGGTCTTGGAAGATGCAAACCTGTGGTGTAAACTTAGTCTATTTTCCTAGAGCTCTGCAATGCAAAGATATTGGGGAAAACACAT